TTATATATATATATATAAGGATGCAATAGAAGAATGAAAACGAGAACATGAAAAATAGAAATAAAAGAATTCGTTATAAGAAATTCAAATGATAGTTACCGATAAATATATATATATATATATATTAAATTTAAAATGTAAATTTAAATTTTAAACAAAAAATCGAAACGTTCCTTCCTCTCTCTCTCTCTCTCTCTTCATTACGAAACATTTTCAGAGCATATATATATATATAAATAAATGTATTATGAATAAGAAGAAACTTTAATTATCTCCACATTTCAATCAAAAATAATAATAATGCACATTTATCTTCAACTTATAATTGCCATGGTTACACTCCTAAAGCACACACACAAAAAATTGTTGCTTAATTAACAAATTGATTTATTACAATGAAAGAAAAACCGCAACTCTCAAGAGACTATAAACTCATATGTAAATTTTCGTCTATTTATAATAACGTTTCGTCTTTTTTCTTTTTTTTTTCTCCTTTTCTTTCTCATTCTGATCTCAGTTTTGTTTTTTTTTTTTTTTTTTTTTTTGCAAAAATTCTACCCAACTGTATTAATTTCTTTTACAATCTCTAAATATTATTGTGGCTAACAGACAAAAAGTTTAACGAGCTGAACTGACATTTAATTAAGGTGTCTTAACAAACACAACTATACAATTCATTTATTTATGTGTTCATATACGCAAATGTTGTCTAACAAAACTGGTAAATCTCTCCCTTCTAAGTCGAACGAATAGCGTACACAATGATACATATGCCGTACGTAGATAGCACAGCCAGCAAACAGCAACACAATACTGTAAATGAGTCTAATTAACAATAAAGCATTTACCACACATAATTCAAAGCAGTCCGTAGGCTGAAAACGCATACTATACGCCGATAAGAGGATGAGGTGTTAAAAGCATTGAGATTAGACTTTTTACGAGGTATTAACATTTTTTTCTCTTCTAAAGAATAATTTTTTTTTTTTTGCTTTTTTGTTTTTTATTTCAACGTAAGCATAAGAGATCATTAAAAAGGCACTACTAAAGAGCCACAACAATGTCATCGCATCGTATCATTTCAGTCCCGTCAACAATTAGTTGCCTTGCCTTACTTACATTCCAAATTTGAGTTGAATTCTACAAGTAGTTTTTATAAATGTCTTTAACTTATTTGAATATAAAGACGACGATTAAATGGATTAATCGACAATTAAACAATCGCTATATATTAATACAATTATAATAAGCACATCTTTTATTCTAATATCTGTCCATGAACAATTATGTGCTCAATTATGTGTACAGATCGCATTATTGGGCAGAGAAACAAACACTACTGCAAATGGATTCGATCAGACGATTATTACGATTTCTTCTCGTATCAACGCCTTTTTGTGAAAAGCCCTTATTTTAAAAGAAAAATAACAATTTTCGAAATATGTCTGGAAAAATCGCTCGCTAATACTATTACGATATACCAAGTTGTTCATATAATTACTCAACCCGAGAAAGATGGGTCAGTCTCAAGTCCACCTGAGTATCGCATATATCGACATAGATTTGAGGGCATAATTAACTGTGCCAAACTCGAACTAGGTAGCTCAATTTACTGAATTCCTCCGATACAAGCGTTCAGTTTCTTACGGAAACTAAGCCCAATTGTTGCAGATTAACAGTTTCGCAACAATATTTGCACTGCCAAATATGGGCCACGCAACTATATTTCTATGATACTTCTAACTCTTCACGATACAAGTATTTACAACAAGCTTGAACTGTTGAACAATTTAAAAAAAAAGTGTGTAACGATGGATGCGGAAGTTTACAAGATGTGCACTCATCAGCCACGCATTGGGAAAGAGAGAAAGATTATAAGGTGATGGCAATGTTCAGGTAATTTAGTCTTCCAACGTTCTTCATGTCTCTTCTCGCTGCAGGAACTCAGTGAACTGAGTTGTTGGTGATCTTTAAAAATACAATGTCTAGGAAAGAAAAATATTACTGAAGATGAATTTGGATAATAAGTAGTAAGTTCGTAACATGTGCAAGGCGTTTTGACTATTGATTTCGGAAATTGTTTAAATTCCTCAAAATAGAAAATGGAATACTCGAAGACCATGTGTTGTATGTGGAGAGAAATACTATTGAAGGATGGATGCATGTTAAACTTTCACTTAAAGATCTCTTCAAAATTGATATACGTGATGAGTCGAGCCATACAAGTGTTATCAGCTTTATTAATACATTTTCAATAATAGACAAGTCATCGGCTCTAAGACTAATTTAATACACAAATGTAGTCGATCTTGCAAACACAAGAATATAAAAAAGAAAAAAGAAAAAAAAAACCCTGCCCGCTCCAAAATGCATTCATCCACAAAACTCTTATGACTATGAATAAATGACTCTGAATACTCCACAAGACTTGTCTTCAACTTGTCGATATCAGCCACGAAGAGTATAAGTTTTCCATTATGGAAAATTTAAAAATACCAAATATTTTTCTAAGTAAAATGATATGGACACATAAATCGGATAAATTATGTCTACATCGCGTCAATATAAACATTCCGACTAGGATATCTGACGAATTATGTTATGCAATAGATAGAAGTCAAGCTACACAATCATATAGAAATCGCAACATATACGATATAAGTTGATAACTAAAAATTCCGACATCTTTGCTCAAGAAGCTGCGTCCTGCTGTTTAAGAAGGCACTTGCCAGAGAGCTTATGCTGTCCACCGCTAAGACACGGACTAAAATTGATTTCAGTTCAGGAGAGTTGAAGTTATAATAGACTTTATGATTTTATAGAAATATTTCCGTAAAAGCTTGTGTTTCATCGCTACACACAGAGAACGTATGCCACTTCGATACTTAAATGGCGCGATGATATTGTGTTTTTCACGAATCAATTCGTCTGTATTAGAAAATATCTTGCATCCTTCATCTAAGGCGCTTACTTTCCGTTCCCATAATGCGTTCCTTGGAAAAATTTCGAAAATTTTTATAAAACCTTTTAGTCTTACGTATATCGGGGATTTTGGCAGTGATGGATTCTGCACATTGCAATGACACTCGATTTTTCTGATACTATATTAAAAAATTGAAAATAGGAAAATTCAATAACATTTTCTATATATTATACTTTGTTTATTGCAACTTTTGCGGATTGGTTTTGCGGACGTGTGCAACCACCTTTTATTATACTGACTAATCAGAATCATTTTCTGGATCGATCTAAGCTTATCAGTGCGTCTATCCGTTTGTTCAGTTTTCTCGCATTCAACCTAGAGGTCGTAAATTTTGAAATATTTTAATGAAACTTGCTACACTGCCGTGCTTTGGCCCAAAGACGAACATCCCTTATTTGAGAAAGTTAAAACATGGATAACTATAGGATAGTGTGGGGCACTTAATGATGAGACGTGGCCCTCTACACGTAGTGTTTTCCCTTGTTGTACATACCTCCATTGTACCATTCCTTAAATGAGTTAATTCTGAAGTGAAGGCAAGTGTTGTTAAAAAATGTGAGAAAATAAATGAAATCAGCAGAGAAAAAGCCCGCTTCGAACGAACATAAAATTGAAACAATATTCTTCGGTTCGACAAGATGGAGTGATTAATAGAGCACCAAGAATAATCTTTAGTGCTAAATTACGTTTATGTTATATTTGCAAATGTCATCAAATAATAGCACAATTTGTACGACGGTCATAGTTCCGCAAGTATCCGACATGACAAAGAAAATACAGAAAATTTGGGAAAAATGTTTTTACTTCTCAACATCGTCCTCTGTTGATTCTATATGTATAGTTTTCCAGTGACGTTCAATAGTTCCGATGTCCCGTTAAAAGTGTGAACTATCGAACTTCGACAAATAGCCATCAGTCGCAGACTCCACCGCTTCATTCTTCCCATATATTTTGCGGTCGAGCCATTTTTTCAAATTTCGAAATTTCAAAGAATAAACTGACCTATCTGCCGAACAGTGTGCGGAAGATGATGATTCGAAATTTAACTCGATGACTTTGAGCCGTCGCGACAATAGATGTGTGAACCGATGCCTTAAAAAACGATTGTCTTAAAAAACGAATCCTATCTTTTTCGCCAGATTTAGCCATCTTTTCTTAATTTTATTGCTCGAACAATGCTAACTACAGTCTCCCTTACCGAATCGGACTCAACTAATTTGTATTCCCAATAAATGGAGTTGAGTAAGTTCGTATATCTGAAGAATACGTAGGCATTTAGTGCGACACACTTTGATCAAATTGAAAAAATTTGTTCAGGCACTATTCGAAATTTATCTTCGTAAGATAACATTTTTAAAGAGAATGAAGAATACTTTAGTTAAAAAGCGAAAACTTTTGAAGAAAGTTCCGGCTAAAACGTATTCGAAAGTTTAAGGGTAACTGGGTGAGTAGTAAACTCTGAGAAAAAGCTGCACTGTACTCAACTAAGCTTAAAATAGTGTTAAAACACGTGTTATAATGTAAAATTTTCATTCGAAAAGGAAATAAAATAAATGTATAATCGCAGAGAGGAATTTATTGAAGAGAGGAAATATAAATATATGTTGTATTTTTGAAATTAAATCAAAGTTTCTCTTCTTGTATGTTTTTGGGATTTTGCTGATTACGTTCTCTCTCCGAGTTTCATACTCTCTTGCTTGCATTATTATTTTGCCGCTGCTGCCATGTATGTATCACTCCCTTGATTTTTGATGTTCTCTTTGCCGGTATGAGGTTTCCGGGGGGTTGATTACTCAGTTATAAATATTGTTTAGGTAAATCTTTTATTTTTTGTGGCTTACAACCATAACAATTGTTTCAATTACAATTTCACTCTTGCTCAGCAAGTTAGTCAGTCAGTTAGCGAGCCAGCCAGCCAGCCAGTCAATTGGAGTTTAGCTTGTTGCACGTATTCCTTATAAATTCAATTGAAATTTTGTATAAATACAAGTTAACTAGCACACGGATAATTCAATACGTTGTTGAACGCGTCTGCAACAGGACGTGTTTTCTCCGGAACTTTTGCATTAGATTATTATAGAATCTTTAAGCAAACAAAGTATTGCTTTTTTTTTTTCGAAAATTTTTATTCGTAAAGCATTTACGTGTGAAAGTACAAATTTAAGCAGTTATTTTGCAAACAAAAAAAAAATAAATAAATAAATAAAATAAATAAATAAAAAAGGAAAAGAGAAAGAGAAAGAGAAAGAGAAGGAAAACAATGGCTATACCATTTTGTGAACCTACAGCCGCCCAATCTGAAGAGGTAATAGAGCAGATACTGGATCAAGTGGACGCGGCTATTTCGACCAACAATCAAAATAATTTTCCGACTACGTCAAATGCTACCGAGGAAGATTTGATGGCCTGGAAGCTGTTAGCCTTAATTATGTGTAAGGTACTAAAAAATTTACATCAACAGCAACCAGCTGCAAGCAATGCCAGCTCTACAAATGCCTCAACCAAGGTATCGGCCAACAGTCAAATTCCACACAATTGGCAGTGAATTCTTGATTTTACAAAGAGCAAAAAAAAAAAAAAAAAAACAAAAAACACAAAACAAAAAGAAACCAAACAAACAAAACCAAATAACTAATTAATCTTAAGTTGAAGTCTATCGTGTTTTCCTACAAATATTTCCAAAGGAGATATTTATCATTAATTATAAATAAAAAAAAAAAAAAAAATGGAAAACCAAGACAAGGGAAAAAAGCGAGTCTGCCCTCCTATTTTGCAACAAAATGCCGTCGGCACATTATATATGTATGTAAAACCAAGACTTGTATAAAAAAAGTCAAATTAAAAGCGCAATTGTGATAGTCAAGGATATTTTCAATTATGAAATTACTTGAAACTAATCTACAATATAAACTATTTTCTAGTTTAGCTAGTTTTAGCTGTAAGAAATTTTCTTAAAACATTTTTTCTCTAATCCATCTCAGTGTCTATTTATAATCTACAATCGCTAGTACTGCTGTCGCATTTACTAATAATCATATTTTCATATATTTATATAATAATCATATATATATATATATATATATATATATATATATATATCAATGTTTACTCTCAGACAGCTTCTTCTTATCGATTGAATGAAAACGCCTGCAAACAGGTTAAAACGAACATAAGGGAACACTTTTCAAATAATTTGCTCCTAATTGTTCAATACAATCAACTGTATTCGTATGTGTGCGTTCTTTATTCAGTTTTTACATTTTGTGTAACGCGTTTCAATAATTTTTCTATTCACACAAAATGTCTCAGAATAAAAAGAAAAAACGCAAAAAAAAAAAAAAAAAAAAAAAAAAAAAAAAAGGAAAGAAAAAGAAAAAAGGATAAGAAAAACATTTATAAGGTTTCTTAAATGCAAAAGTGGTTAAAACTTAAAATTAAATAAATCCTCTTTTGAGTATTTGATATAAATATTTTTTTAATTATTATAGAGAGAGAGCAGAAAAAAGTACAATTATTAACTAAATGCTTAAATATATGTATCGTAGAAAATATGTGTAAACGATTTTTATAATAAATATTTTATGTAAGCTAAACTATATATATATATATATATATATATATATATATATTTGTAAAACCTATTCAATAAAACAAAAAGCCGAAAAGACAAAAAGATCTGTATTTTAAATTCCTTTTTGGCGTAAGGAGATTTGAACAGAGCGACGGAGCGAGATAGGGAGAAGGAGAAAAGTTATTGTGGAGAGTAATTTTCAATTTTCGAAAATTCCATTTGAAGTTTCCTACAAAAAAAAAAAAAATTGAAATCTATGCAGTTGTGGTCTTCAGTTTCAAATACACATATTAAGCTTTTCGTCTTGTTTTTCCCTTTCTTTGTTTCTGCTTTCGGTGAGCAGTTATTAGTGGATGTTTTTTTTTTTTTTTGTGTGTGTGTGTGCGTGTGTGTACAACTTCTGATGTTAGCTAAGGAAATTTGTACATTGAAATGGTAGGGAATAGCTTGCAGCATTTAGTTTAGCTAAAGAGAAAGTTATTCCTGCAATAAGAAACCAATGCCATGGTAATCCTTTCAGCCGGTAAAAAAATGCAATTTAATCTAATGAAAATGGGATTTTAGGCACAAAACTTTTCATTTAACTTTACAGCATTACAGCATTAAGTACCTAACATTATACCGCCGATGATTTTGTACCTATAGCGCTCCGCGTAAAGAGATCCTTTTTAAAAAATGCAATCAACCATGCATTACGCAGTAAATTCGATGATAGATAGATAGATATTTAGCGAATATATTTTTTGCAAAAACTTGGCTTTTGAAGGCAAAACATTTTATTGCATACTAATTTAAAAGATATCTCACTACGAGGGCTGTTGCAACGTGTTACGGCATTTTATTGCATGCATGCCGATTTGTCTCCAATACCGCCAGGCAAAACAGCTCGATTACGGCCTGGTGCCTAGGCTATCCGTAAAAAATTATTGTTTGTGACTGGAGTTGCTTATCGTCTAAATTTTCCAATAGGAAGGGTATCAGCGTTTAACTTATTGTGCGCCTTATCAGTGCGGCCGCTGTTGCGACGGACGCAGGAGACTCATTCGAGTCATCAGTTTTGTAAAGCGATCCTAATTTGCGCAAGTGGCACAAATTGGTTCCGGAATATATTCTTTTTTCGTTCCTTGCACCTTTGAGATGTGTTGGAACTTTGGTTCGAATTTTTTACGCGAGAATGAAATGTCCATTTATCAGGATAACCGTACCGACGGTAAATAACGAAGTGAATACAAATAATTTGCAAACTTTATCGAGTTAACTCTAGGCACCATTTGCAAGCTGAAATTGAAAAAGAAACTGAAATCTGGAAACAATCATAAAAATAATCTATTGGCACCGGTACGATAAGCGTTCAATGCGATCCTTTTTTTAAAAGATTTATTTATTTTAATTAAGAGAGGGCAGAGCGACAAAAAAAACGTAGAATTCGACTTTCAAATAAGTTAATCCGCTATTCGTGACATTTGAAATCTTATTTCCCAAGCAATGCTTTGAAGAAATTATTGGTTTGAAAAATTTCGAATTTAGTCTTCTTTTCAAATCGTAATCTTAGTTTCTTTAACGCTTATTATACCTTTCGCCGGTGAAGGATTCCTTGACAGCGGGGAAGAAAGGAAGCAATTCATTAATCTTCCTTTGTTTTTTGAGGAAAATCTCTTCGTGAACGAATACAATTTGTTTTAAGAAATTTCTAATGTCTTTGCCGTCGGCAAAAACTCAATTAGCGCTTGCTGTTGCACGTTGCTGACGCTTTGGGGCTTTAGTATCAAAGGGCGATTTTATGTATTAAGTAATTTGTTTTTTTTTTTTAACTAAGCATAGTTTTCATAACGGAAATATGATTTTAATTATATTTTCTACACGAACCATGTTATAGAAATTACATAGTGCATATTAATATTTATCGATAATGTTTTTTAGCCCGATAAGTTCATGGGGTGCATTGTTTGGTTAAAGATGGAAACATTCGAAGGAACAAAAGAGGGAACATGTTTGCATGTTTGTTATAATTCGAGAACTTTCAGGTTTTTTAAAATGAATGGCAAAGCGCTCAGCAGCTCAGTACTTTACACTTTATATGAAGTAAGAGAATCGCAGCCGTTTTTAGCGAATTGAATTAAGTGGAAACCCATTTCGATAAGCGTTTTAGCAGGTCGATTAGAAGTATTTTCGTAACGAACATCTGGGTAAATGCTCTATTGCTAAAGCGCCTGTACAATGTTAAGCCGTCGGGAGAAATTTATCCGAATTCGGTGCACTTTTTTGCTCGAATCTCTGCTCAAATGTGAAAAATATTTGGGTTTAGGTTGTCTATTGTCCAGATAGGGTGAAAGACATAATAGACATAATCCTTTCTTATACCATAAAAAAGTTACTTTATGTGTGTGTTTAAGCAAAATCTGTTCAGATAATTTTTTCAAACAAATTTTTCCACATATTTTGCGAATCTTAAGTTAACACAATGGTACGGTGAACCGGCATAATTTTAAATGGTGGCGAATGCTTAAAGTTTTGAAAATAAATAAAGTTTTCTTATCACCCAACAGGTTGAAAAAGTGGAAAAATGTTATTTTCTTTATTTATTTAACGCTGATATCTGTGCCGTTTACATACAGTGTGTAGTCGGCCGAAATTCAAGACCTTTCTTGGTGATTCTCGGCCTTAAGGCTCTCGAGAGGGTCAAATGTTCACGGGCTATAAGAGTGTGCCCAAAACTCTTCATGTCTATGAGGATGAGTATGAAGTGCTCCGTTGCGATAAAAATAGTTTATCCTTCAATCAACTTCTTGAACAGGACTGCTTAGCTTTGACAGCATTTCCAATCACTAGGATTGCCCACATAAAGCACAACGCATAGCTTTAACCGCACGGCTAACTTTTCCAGTGTTCCAGATATTTCGACTTTCTGAATGTCGTACTTACACACTTACACTTTTTTGATTTGTAATCCTTCTTGATCATCCAATCACCTCCTGGATACCAAGATTTCTTAAGCTATTGCCTCGTAACACTTAAGATGTAATAAACCTTGCGTTCGACGTACTTTATGGCTCGTGAGACTCATTTGGTTGAAATCAGATATCATTTGGATCAACATTTTCCAATCTAGGAGAAAGAAAATGCTTAAAAATTAATCTAGAACCATCTCTAATCTCAGTTTCAAAGAAATGATACTCATTTACCCAAAAAAAAAAGACACACACATCTAACGGTCAATTTCACGAAATAAAAAGATATCTCATAACTAATTTTTGAATTGCTCTCACACCGAACACGGCAAAAGATGGCAATCATCTGATAAAAGAATTTCCCTTTTTTTTTTTTTTTGTAATTGCAAGCAATATTCGTATACGAAAACAATTACTTCAACAAACAATAATATCTAAACGTTGTTGAGGTGCATATCTTTCAATGACAAAATTGGAAAACTAACTTAATGCGACTAATAATAAATGCAGAGTGAGTTCGATATTGAAAGAGAGAAAGTGTTGCACCGATTTATTAAAAGCATAAGTTGTGACATTTAATTTTTCCTAATTTCTTGCAAAACTATTTGAATAGCATAGCGCTATGGCATCTTGGCCTCGTTTATCACTTGCAAAGATTGCTCACGTCATAGTCAATTGTGGGCGATTTCGTTTTAATATAACACCGATGAAATCAAAAGATGATCTGTTTCTTAAGGCAAGATAAAGACTAAGTTTTAGGGGGGGGAATGCCACTGCATATCTTTTAGAATTGATTTCTTTTAAATTAAAATTTGCGCAATCAAATCTGTCGATGACGAAGCTCTTTAGATTAATGATAATTCTTGTAATTGGCTACGGTTTAGTCATTTTTTTAATATATTTCAAGAATCATTAACTTTTTTTATTAGAAAATAAAAACTAAATGCGAAAAGAAATCGATAGGAATTTTCTTTTGCTTTCAGACTATGTTTGATGGCATTCGTCTCCGTTACTTCAGTAAAAATTCGATGC